GCCACATCTTCTCACTATCACTACCTAAAACGGGTTTGTTGTAGGGCCACGGGCATGTACTCCGGGTTGTACTCGTTCCCCTGAGGCACAGCATAGGGTTACACTACCCCGAGCGCATGCGGCGGCGAACATTACCGACGCTTCATGGGTGAATATGTTTCCTCCACTATCCACTACCTCGAATGATCGTCGAGCCAATAAAATCACAATCCACGTCTAATCATCGTCATTACTGAAGAGTCAGAGGCCAGGCACGGGAAAATATTAGTTTTCTCTTACGTTTAGGTAAACACCCCCCGACGGTGGAGTCACGGAGTGGCCAACACAGAGGGAGAATGTCCGAGGATCGTCGGGGGTTTTCTGCACTTTATCGCTATCCTGGTCCTTATTTCGGTCACTACTTATCAAAGCCGTAGAATTCGTCTTCATTTCCCTTCCATCAGTGTCAGAACTATCAGACAGGAAGAGGAGAGTCCCAATTTTCCGGGGAGTGGAGAGCTGACTTGCGACGAGGCATGAGTGAATCCAAGGGTGACTGAAGCCGGAAAGTTCCACAATGCTATGCAGGCGCCTAGATTTTTTGTTTACGGCGCAGACCCATTCTCTCATATGTAAGCCTATGAGCGCTTTCGCGCTAAATTTGACGGCGCTAGAATTTTGGCGTAGATCTACGGTTTGGACACTCACTGACCAGCCGTAGATCTACGGGACGGACCCTGAAAGGGTTAATACCTCAAGTCCTAATGGAAGGGGATTCCCCTTCTAAACAATAACAACTTTCACAGTCTCCCCACCTCCCATCCCTTCAATCATCACCAGATCTTCAATAAAGGTGTCATGTATTCTATTCTTAGTAGAGTATTAATTGTGCATGTCTTCTTAAGTTTGTATGTATTAACCCTTTGACTGTCGCAACCCCCAATCCTGAGGTGTCTCCTGGTGTCGCAAAATTTAAAAAAAAAAAATTATTTTTTTCTTATGAAATGATAGAGAATCTTTTCCCGATTGTAATGACACCAAAAAAACGAAATTTGATGGAAAACTGACGGAATTATGCTCTCGCGAAGTTAGCGACCTCGGCGCTGTTTACAAATCGGCGTTTCGCCCACTTTGAGCCCTATTTTTGGCTAATTTTCCATTGTTCCTGTCGCCCAAACTATAGCTATTTCTTTTGAACTTCATTTTTTCTTCGATGAATACAAGATATGCCATTTACTGATTTCAACTACCTAATAATGTGTGTCAGAAATTGCAATTTAGGCCAATTTTCACGAAAATCTAAAAAATTGACAATTCAAAATAAGGGCCAGAGGAATGAAACAATGCAGAACAGTCCTATGGCTCTAAAATATAACATTTTCTTTGTTCATCAGTCACGTCTCCAGGCCCTTCTGTTATTACTCTTGCTTTCTATTTTGAATTTTTATTCAAACAAAAAATATTAGACTTACTATTATGCAGACTACTGCAATGCTGTAATAACTGTATAAATAACATCAACCCATTCATGACTGCATATTAGAATGGCTAGTTGGACATTTATTGGACAATGGCATCATTTGTTTACTTTTGAACATTGGCAAAAATCAAACATTTCCCCTACTTTGAGCTCCATTTCTAGGTTCTTTTTATAGTAAAATCAAACAAAATCACCTCTATTTCTGTAATATGTTTTCCATTCTATCAAATGAGACCAAGAAAACGAGAATACAACCATAAATACTATACGAAAATAGACCACAAAGTCGGCATTTTAATTAAAAAAAACGGTCGGAGTTTTTTTTTTCTCATTATGCACTGCGTGCTCCAGGATTTTTTTTATATGGTGCACACTGACCACACAGACCCATTCTCTCACATGTGGGCCTACCAGCTTTCTCCTGCTTGATTTGAAGCCGCTAGAATTTATGAGTATATATACGTCAAACACGACACCTCGTAAAACGTATACATATGGCCGCGACAGTCAAAGGGTTAAAATTAATATTTCATTTTTTTTTTTCAGACTTTTGGGTGTCTTGCATGGATTAATTTGATTTCCATTATTTCTTATGGGGAAAATTAATTCACCTTACGATTACAGTGGACCCCCGCATACCGTTGGCATCACATAACGATTAATCCGCATACCGCTTGCTTTAATCGCAAAAATTTTGCCTCGCATACCGCTTAAAAACCCGCTCACCGCTGTTCGTCCGAGACGCGTCCAATGTGCGCCCTCAGCCAGCCTCACATGTGCCGCCCGTGCCATTGTTTACCAGCCAGCCTCCGCGGTAACATCCAAGCATACAATCGGAACATTTCGTATTATTACATTGTTTTCGGTGCTTTATCTGGAAAATAAGTGACCATGGGCCCCAAGAAAGCTTCTAGTGCCAACCCTACAGCAATAAGGGTGAGAATTACAATAGAGATGAAGAAAAAGATCATTGATAAGTATGAAAGTGGAGTGCATGTCTCCGAGCTGGCCAGGTTGTATAATAAACCCCAATCAACCATCGCTACTATTGGTGGTACAGCTGCTGCTGCTGCTGTAGCATTGTCTGCTGCTGCTGTAGCATCGTCTGCTGCTGCTGTAGCACTGTCAGCTGCTGCTGCTGCTGTAGCATCGTCTGCTGCTGCTGTAGCATCGTCTGCTGCTGCTGTAGCACTGTCAGCTGCTGCTGCTGCTGTAGCATCGTCTGCTGCTGCTGCTGTAGCATCGTCTGCTGCTGCTGTAGCATCGTCTGCTGCTGCTGCTGCTGTAGCATCGTCTGCTGCTGCTGCTGCTGTAGCATCGTCTGCTGCTGCTGTAACATTGTCTGTTGCTGCTGTAGCATCGTCTGCTGCTGCTGTAGCATCGTCTGCTGCTGCTGTAGCACTGTCAGCTGCTGCTGTAGCATCGTCTGCTGCTGCTGTAGCATCGTCTGCTGCTGCTGTAGCATCGTCTGCTGCTGCTGCTGCTGCTGTAGCATCGTCTGCTGCTGCTGTAGCATCGTCTGTTGCTGCTGTAGCATTGTCTGCTGCTGCTGTAGCATCGTCTGTTGCTGCTGTACCACCGTCAGCTGCTGCTGCTGCTGTAGCACCGTTGTTGGTGTGGCTTATTGAGAATACCAAGAAACAATTAACCCCAGAGGATTTGCCACCCAGGATAACCCAAGAAAGTCAGTGTCATCGAAGACTGTCTAACTTATTTCCATTGGGGTCCTTAATCTTGTCTCCCAGGATGCAACCCACACCAGTCAACTGGAACTAGTGCTCATATTGGTGAATTTAAAGCCAGCAAAGGTTGGTTTGAGAGATTTAAGAATCGTAGTGGCATACACAGTGTGATAAGGCCTGTTCTGGAAGAAAATGCCAAACAGGACCTACAGTACTCAGGAGGAAAAGGCACTCCCAGGACACAGTGTCTCATCAGTCATTGCTGCATCTTCAATAAAGGTAAGTGTCATTTATTCTTCATTTAGTAGACTAGTACATGCACAATATATACTGTGCATGTACTACTCTACTATTGTGCATGTATCCTTCTCTTTGTGTGTAGGAAAATGTATATTTCATGTGGTAAAATTTTTTTTTTCATACTTTTGGGTGTCTTGCACGGATTAATTTGATTTCCATTATTTCTTATGGGGAAAATTCATTCGCATACCGATTATGCGGGGGTCCACTGTATTTCGGCTCACGATGAGCTCTCAGGAATGGATTATTATCGTAAGGCGGGGGTCCACTATATTTATGTATGTTAACCTGTAAACGGTCCGAATGTATATATATGTTTACTACCGTACTGCCCGAACTTTTTTGAGAAAAAAAAAATAGTTTTTTTAATAGGAAAAAAGAGCATATGGTACCCAGGCATCCCCAATTATTTTAATATGGCACACAGTGAGTGCTCACACCCATTCTCTCATGTCTAGGCGACTCAGGCTTATCGTGGCAATGTTAAATGTTTTTTTTTTTTTTTCAACAAGTCGGTCGTCTCCCACCAAGGCAGGGTGACCCAAAAAAGAAAGAAAATCCCCAAAAAGAAAATACTTTCATCATCATTCAACACTTTCACCACACTCACACATTATCACTGCTTTTGCAGAGGTGCTCAGAATACAACAGTTTAGAAGCATATACGTATAAAGATACACAACATATCCCTCCAAACTGCCAATATCCCAAACCCCTCCTTTAAAGTGCAGGCATTGTACTTCCCATTTCCAGGACTCAAGTCCGACTATATGAAAATAACCGGTTTCCCTGAATCCCTTCACTAAATATTACCCTGCTCACACTCCAACAGATCGTCAGGTCCCAAGTATCATTCATCTCCATTCACTCCTATCTAACACGCTAATGCACGCTTGCTGGAAGTCCAAACCCCTCGCCCACAAAACCTCCCTTTTCCCCTCTTTCCAACCCTTTCAAGGATGACCCTACCCCTCTTTCCTTCCCCTATAGATTTATATGCTTTCCATGTCATTCTACTTTGATCCATTCTCTCTAAATGACCAAACCACCTCAACAACCCTTCTTCTGCCCTCTTGACTAATGCTTTTATTAACTCCACACCTTCTCCTAATTTCCACACTCCGAATTTTCTGCATAATATTTACACCACACAAAACCTCCTTTACCCCCTCTTTCCAACCCTTTCAAGGACGACCCCTACCCCTCTTTCCTTCCCCTATAGATTTATATGCTTTCCATGTCATTCTACTTTGATCCATTCTCTCTAAATGACCAAACCACCTCAACAACCCTTCTTCTGCCCTCTGACTAAAACTTTTATTAACTCCACACCTTCTCCTAATTTCCACACTCCGAATTTTCTGCATAATATTTACACCACACATTGCCCTTAGACACATAAAACGTATATATACGTTTGGGGCACTAACGGTAAAAACGTATATATACGTTTGGACCGTTTACGGGTTAAATGGGTGAAATTATTGCAAAATTAAAAAAATATTTCCTTTGCTTGAAATTAAAAGAGCTTTTTACATACCATATATTTTTGTCAACAGGTCATGTATGATGTCACCCAGTATTTTTCGCCGAATTCCTCGACGTCGTTCCATACGAACGCGTCTTCACCTTCCAGAGTTATCTACACCTCTGCAAGGAACTAATAGTACCACGGGAACAACAGCAGGAGGAAGATTGTCATCAGCAAGAAATTTAGGGGAGTCCAGGGCTGCCACTGTAACCACTGGGGCTGGAGCTGTGATTGGCCCGCTCCCAACACCACCACCTGACCAAGGGCACTCGGAAGAACAGCCAAGAGATATTGTGCGAATTGTGTCTCGCAATCAGTGCCTCACACAAACACGAAATGTAAGATGGTGTCAGGGTTTTTATAGGTGAATTATATTAAGGTTGCATTACATTTCATGAAACACTAAACCCATGTGGGTCACTGAGCTCACAAAGTGGTGGAGGGTCGATACCCTGTCCATGAATTGTATCTTAATCATCTCTCATCGCCAACAGTCTTCATTACTGTTTCATAAAGAATGTGTTCAATTAAAATTGGGTCTTAGACAAGATATGCATTGTCTCTGGTTTTATGTATTTTAAGTTGGGGTTGTGAAAGAAATGACTTAATGTGTGCTACAGTTTTAAAATATAATAAATATGATTCTGTATAAAGTGGGAGTTGTTGTAAACAGTGTTTACAGATGACATAGTGTTATTGGGTGCTCCAGGAAAAAGAAGCTGCATAGCTTGGAGTAGAAGTTTGGAAAGGTATATAAAAGGAGGAAGTTTAATATGAATATAGAAAAGAATAATGTGATGAGAATACGTAAATGTATAGGGAAAAAATTGAGTTGAAGGAATGAGTATGCAGAAACCAGATGTATTTAGTTACTTGGGAGTGAATGTATCAGCAGATGGGTTATGAAGGATTAAGTAAATCACAGAATACTACTTGAAAGTTGCAAGAGTATTCTAGTTATATTCTCCAAATTGTTTGTAGGGTTAGAATCATAGCTTCTTGAGTTGTCTCCTAAATATGAACGACTGGCTTTGCTGATTTCTAGCTCCAGGGTCTTATCATATCTACTCTTAACCCTTTCAGGGTTTTTGCCATACTGGTACGGCTTACGCACCAGGGTTTTTGACGTACTAGTACGCCTAAATTCTAGCGCCCTCAAATCTAGTGAGAGAAAGCTGGTAGGCCTACATATGAAAGAATGGGTCTATGTGGTCAGTGTGCGCAGTATAAAAAAAATCCTGCAGCACACAGTGTGTAATGAGAAAAAAAAACTGTTTTTGGATTAAAACAGCGACTGCACTGTATTTTCGTATGGTATTTATTGTTGTATTCTAGTTTTCCTGGTCTCATTTTATAGAATGGAAGACATATTACAGAAATTGAGTTGATTTTGATTGGTTTTACAATGAAAAGTACCTTGAAATTGAGCTCAAAGTAGCAGAAATGTTTGATTTTTACCAAAGTTCAAAAGTAAAGAAATCATGCTAAGCGTCCAATACACGTCAATTGGTGAGTAATATTCTTTCACAAGTGCGCCGATATTATTTATACCATTTCTACACTAATGCAGTAGTCTGCATAACAGTAAATCATTTTTTTTTTGTGAGAAAATTCAAATTCAAAGTGGAAAGCAAAAGAATGTTAAGTGGGGCATGGGGATGTGACTAATGAACAGAGGAAATGTTATTTTAGTGCCAGGAATGTCTTTCTTGTTTATTCTGGACCCTATTTGGAAATTGGCATCTTTTGAAATTTGTGTGAAATTGGCAAAATTGCTAAATTCTGACCACTGTATTGGATAGTTGAAATCGGTAAATGGGTGGTTTCTTGTACTCATTCGATAGAAAAAAGGGAGTTCTAGCGAAATAGTTATGATTTTTGTCAACTAGCACACTGGAATTGGCCGAAAATAGGGCTCAAAGTGGGCAAAATCGCCGATGTGTAAACATCATCGAGACCACTAACTTCGCGAGAGCATAATTCCGTAAGTTTTCCATCAAATTTCATACTTTTGGTGTCATTATGATCAGGAAAAGATTCTCTATCTTTTCATAAGAAAAAATATTTTTTTTTTTAAATTTGGGCAACCCTGAGAACAAGTCTTGGAGAGTGCCTAGGGACCCTGAAAGGGTTAATGTTGTATATGTAGTTGGCCTCTCCACCATCACCTTTTACTAGTCTTTTCTCATCCCTGGTGAATGCAGCAGTAAGTTGACAAGTAGATAACAAAGACACATGAAATGGCATAAGTCTTTATAATAATAGCATTTTGCTGAAGAAGAGCTTCATTAACCCTTTGACTGTTTACGTCATATATACACGCTTACGCGCCACTGTTTCTGATGTATTTATACATGTAAATTCTAGCGGCTTCAAATCAAGCAGGAGAAAGCTGGTAGACCCACATGTGAGAGAATGGGTCTGTGTGGTCAGTGTGCACCACATAAAAAAAAACCTGCAGCACGCAGTGCGTAATGAGAAAAAAAACTGACCTTTTTTTGGATTAAAACACCGACTTTGAGGTGTATTTTCGTATAGCATTTATCGTTGTATTCTTGTTTTCATGGTCTCAGGTGATAAAATGGAAAACATATTACAGAAATAGAGATGATTTTCATTACTTTCACGATGAAAACTACCTTGAAATTGAGCTCAAAGTAGCAGAAATGTTTGATTTTTACCAATGTTCAGGAGTAAACAAATTACACCACACGTCCAATACACGTCGACTGGGGAGTCTAATATTCTTTTACTAGTCGACTGATATTATTTATACCATTTTTACAATGATGCATTAGTCTTCAAAGTAAATTCATTCTGAAAACAGAGAACCCGATTTCCCTACCTTCAGATCTCTCACTCTTAAACTTTCCTTATTCGATTCTCCTCCCATTACTGGTTACCACTCGCCACTTGTAGCAGGTGCTGGACTGCACCTCACTGCTGGTAGCCGTTGCTACCTCCCCACCTACAGCCTCCTCACAGCGAGAGACAGACTGCACCTCACTGCTAGAAGCCTCATTCCCCACAACTCCAGCCACCTCACACTCTCTCCCAGACCCACTGAGGTGGACCTTCAGCCTCCTAATCTTTTCCTGGAGAAGCAAGACCTCCTCCTTCAACTCTCCAACCTCAATTTTTAAAACACTGCAGAAGCAAGCCATGCTTTGTAACCATCTTAGAAAAGACCTCAGAGTCACTGTTCTAAACCAGACACAAGGTCTGAATTTTCTTTTCCCGACATGAACCCTACAGGGCAGGATTTTTTTTTTTATACTGTGCACACTCACTACACTGCAGAGACCCATTCTCTCATATCTAGGTCCAAATTTACCACTTACAGTTTATCCGCAGTAGCTGAGCTCGAAACATACATCTGTGTAAGGGATTCTGGCATCAGTTACATAAATGTACTTGCTGGACGGTGGACGAGTTACGTAATTCTAAATTTTTTGGCAGAGCGTTATCGACGAGCTGGCCCACCAACAACATCTCTGGCTTCCAGAATTGCTAATATGATTGCTCATCAGTCTGCTAATGCAGCCAATGCAACTAACAGTAGCTCAACCTCAGGTGAGTATCAGTAAATTGCTTGTGGCTAACCTAAGCTGTAATGCAGTTATTTCTTTTATCATATTAGCTTCTTTTCACTAAAGTAGGATGATCTAAAGTAGGGGACATGTTCACCATTATTCATTCATTCAGTAGCTAATTTGTCAGAAGTGTGTGGATATCACAATTCAAATAACCCTCTGAAATTTAATAATCTTTAACCATAAGGTATAAACGCTAATGCTGTTGTGATAGCTACTTTCGTGATATTGATTATGAGCCTTTGGCATAGTATGGAACTCTATGTTGGAGATGGTATTCTGTGTAGGAAAGTAAAAATTAGTTTAAAATGGAAGGAAAAGGTCAGGAGGAAGTGAATGTGTCAGTAGATAAGTGTGTGAGAAATGATTCAGTGAATTGGTGAGTCTGGGGAAAGAAAGTTTGCCACTGAAAGCAAAAATAGAAATATATTAAAGTATAATGGGGTGACAACTTTGCATAGGTGTGAAGCATTACTTCAAAAGTGGCAGCAAGAGGGTTAAAGGCGGTGAAAAAAAAAATCTTGTTAAAAATCATAGACTCTGGAATGAGCACAGGAAATATTGAAATATATAATTCATTGAGTGGAAGAAGTGATTTAGTTATGTAAAATGAAAGTAGCAAAATATGAAAGAAAGTTGATAAGACAACACACAGTAAATCTAAGACTAAGCAGAGCAGATTTTAGGAGATGCTAGACATTGTAGTAAAGGCTTCCAAGGAAGAGAAGAAAGGGACAAAAGGATGAAATTTTGAGAGGTATGGGGTTCCTTAATGCTAGTGAAGTGCTTTTGATCCTAGCAGCTGGAGCATTCCTTTCATTCTGTGAATCAAAAATGATTAGCTCATAATTATAAGGTGCTTCATTACCTCTGTGGGTTTTGTTCTACTAGTACTATAGTACTAGTACTGCTACTAGTACTTGTACTACTAGTACTAGAATTAAACATAAATTTTATTTAAAAGTTCTGTAATTTAACTTTTGTAATTTATTTGTTATTTTGAATTATGCCAAGAAATCATGTGAATGTAATGTATTTCAGTCACCACTTTGAGATGAGTATATAAATTAGAACAAAACATATAAGTAAGATGGATGATAATCAAAAATATACTTTTTCTTTAGCAGAGTCTCAAGAAAACAATGTAGGAAGTGACAGAAGTGAAGCAGCAAATTTAACACCTTCTAGGCCATTAGACAGGTCATATCAGAGGCCTTTAGACAGACCTTATACCAGACCCCTTGAGAGGGCTTCCCTGAGAAATTCCAGCAGGTGGTTTGACAGGCCATATGGAAGAGTGTCGGAAAGGTGGTGCGACACAAATTCTGATCGTCTGCCAAGGAGGGGGTCAGACCGGTTGCACAGTAGGCACTCTGAGCGGCCACATGGACGAAACAGTGGAAGGAATCCGGATAGAGCACTAGATACCCCATATCAAAGATCTTCAGATGCTTCAAGTCCATGGAGTGGAATACCGCCTTCCCAACAGCCACCACCTCCAGGGCCCCCATCAACAGCACCTCCTACTCTGTCACAGCTTGATGATACAGAGACACGAAGCAATGACTTTAACAGTGAGTATTGTATTGTAAATTTCATTCTTGTAGGTATGTAGATTGTTGTTATTCTTCTTTCAACAAACAGGCTGTATCCCACTGAGGCAGGGTGGCCCAGAAAGAAAAACAAAAGTTTCTCTTTTTAAATTTAGTAATTTATACAGGAGAAGGGGTTACTATCCCCTTGCTCCCGGCATTTTAATCACCTCTTACAACATGCATGGCTTACAGAGGAAGAATTCTGTTCCACTTCCCCATGGAGATGAGAGGAAATAAACAAGAACAAGAACTAGTAAGAAAATAGAAAACGCAGAGGGCTGTGTATGTAAATGCTTGTACATGTATGTGTAGTGTGATCTACGTGTAAGTAGAAGTAACAAGACATATCTGAAATCGTGCATGTTTATGAGACGGAGAAAAGACACCAGCAATCCTACCATCATGTAAAACAAGTACAGGTTTCTGTTTTACACTCACTTGGCAGGACGGTAGTACCTCCCTGGGCTGTTGCTGTCTACCAACCTACTACCTTGGTAGATTGTTATTATGCATATAAAATAGTACACATTTAGCCTGAAATTAATCTTGCAGAATGTTCTCAATTCTACGTATTTAATTAAATCAGCACTGTATTGGTATAGATTATCTGGCTGTACTTAAAGAATTGAGAATTGGGGTTGGAGGGAGAGGGTAAGGGAGGTTTTTGTGGGTGAGTGGCTTGGACTTTCAGCAAGTGTGCATGAGCGTGTTAGATAAGAGTGAATGGAGACGAATGGTTTTTGGGACCTGACAAGCTGTTGGAGTGTGAGCAGGGTAATAGTTTGTGAAGGGATTCAGGGAAAACAGTTATCCAGACTTGAGTCCTGGAAGTGGGAAGTACAGTGCCTGCACTTTAAAGAAGGGGTTTGGGATATTGGCTGTTTGGAGTGACATCTAAACTGTTGTATCTGAGCACCTCTGCAAAGACAGTGATTATGTATGAATGATAGTGGAAGTGTTGAATGATGATTAAAGTTTTTTCTTTCTTTTTGGGTCACCCTACCTTGGTGGGAAATGCCTGACATGTTAAAAAAAATTAAAGAATTTGACCTAATAGTTTTCAATACTGCTTTGGGTATATAACTCTTAAGATTTCAGAGGGAGATGGTGATATTCATCAGACAAAGGAATAATAACTGGTAGGGTTAAGGAAGTTCCAGAGATGAATGTTGGGGAAGTTCATGAGGCAGTGTGTAGAATGAAAGTGGGTAAAGCAGCTGGGACAGTTGGGATTAAGACTAGCATGTTAAAAATAGGGGTATGCCAAATATTAGTACAGGTATTGTTATCTGTATGGATGGGATAATTTTGATAGTATCGGTATTTGTCTAATATTGAGTATTGATAACAGTGGGTATTGCCTAATTTTAATGGTATTGGTATTGATAGGTAATAGCCTAAAATTGAGTCTGTATTGATACTGGGCAAAATTTAGGTATCATCCCATCACAAGTTTAAAAGCAGGTGGGGATGTGGTTTTGGAGTGGTTGGTGTATTTTCTAAATACGTATATTAATGAAAGAAGGAAAGATGCCTAAGGATTGGCAGAGAGCATGCATACAGTGGAACCTCGGTACTCGAACAGCTCCATACTCGAATAATTTGATATTCAAACACTTCGTTTAGTAAAGAGATTGCTTGATAGTCAACCGTTTGCTCGGCACTCAACCAACCAAACAAACACAACCTACTAGAACTTCACTGTAAACCATTTCATGTTTCTTCGCATTTTTTGGTGTTTTTATATTAAATAAATCACCATGGGGCCTGAAAGGGTTAGTGATAACAGCCAACCAAAAAGAAAATTGGTTGGGAAAAATTCATTCTGTACTCGAACAGATCCGCACTCAAACAGCCTTCTGGAACCAATTAAGTTTGAGTGCTAAGGGTCCACTGTAGTTCCTTCGTATAAAGGAAAAGGTGATAAGAGGGAATTAAGAATTCTAGGGGACTAAGTCTCCTGAGTATAATGGGTAAAGTGTACTGTAGAATTATTATTGAAAAGTTAGAAGAAAGTAGGAGTCTATAGGAAAGGTAGGTGATGAGTAGATCAGGTAATTACTTTGAAGCATATAAGTGAACACTACTTGGATAAGGGTAGGGAATGTATTGTTGCATTTGTGATTTAGGGAAAGGATTGGATAAGGGTGTAATATGGCAGATGTTGCAAAAATATTGAATAGGTAATTCATTATTAAAAGTAGTAGGGCATTTTCTTTGTGGCAAGTGAGGCTTACGTTAGGATGTGAAGGAGAGAAGGGGACCATTTTACAGTAAAAGCAGGTCATAGACGGAAATGTTTGAGTTTTATGAGTTTTTAAATTTTGTTTTGATGAGTTGAAAAAGAAAAAAAGGTTAGAGTGTTGGCAGAGGCGAATTTGGGATTGTAAAAATTTTTTATTTTTTTTATTATCACACGGGGCCGTTTCCCCCCCAAGGGCGGGTGGCCCGAAAAAGAAAACTTTCACCATCATTCACTCCATCACTGTCTTTCCCAGAAGGGTGTTTTACACTACATTTTTTAAACTGCAACTTAACACCCTCCTTCAGAGTGCAGGACTGTATTTCCCCATCTCCCGGGACTCAAGTCCCCTCCCTTTTCCCCCTAACCCTTAAAAATTTTTTACTTTGCTCACACTCAACGACGTCAGTTTTAAAAAACCATTTGTCTCCATTCATCCAAACAAAACGCTCACGCCGCCTGCTGGAAGCCCAACCCCCTCACACCAAAACCTCCTTTACCCTTTCCCCCCAAACCTTTCCTAGGCCGACCCCTACCCCCCTTTCCCTTCCCTACAAAGTACACTTTTGAAGCTTTCTGTCTCGCTCCATTCTTCTCTGTCCGAACCACTCAACAACCCTTTCCTCAGCCCTCTGGACAACAGTTTGGTAATCCCCACCTCCTCCTAACTTCAAATACAAATTCTCTGATTTATTCACACCCCACATTGCCCTCAGACATACCTCCCTGCCCCCAGCCTCCCCGTGAACATTATCCCCCCATACTTCACCCCCTTTTAAGGGTTTGGTAAAACTTTTCCCATACTTTCCCCTCTTTCCCCCAAAGGGACAAAGTTTTTTGTCCCCAAAAACCCTAAGTGCCCCACTCACCCTCCCAAATATCTGTACATTCACCTCCCCCCATACTCTCTCCCTCCAACTGATTCCGTCTTTTCCCCTAATCCTTTTGTTACCTCAAAAACCTTATTTTTCCTTATTCACTTTTAATTTTCTTCTTTTGCACACCCACCAAATTATCCCCCCAACCTGCAATTTCTTCAAATCTCCCAAGAGACAGGTCATCACAAAGAGCAATGTGACAACTCCTATTTAGTGTGATTTTTTTTCTTTTAACTCCACGCCTCTTGTCAAGCCCCGCATTTACTTTCCACAAACCCCCCCTATAAATATATTAAACAACCCGGTGAAAACACACTCCCTTTTCTAAGGCCCACTTTTACGGAAATAAATTTCCTCCTTCCTACACACACTAACTTGAGCCTACTATCCTCGTAAAAACCTTCACTGCTTTTAGTAACCTACTCCTACACAAACCTCAACATCTGCCACATTGCCCCCTATCCCCCTGTCATCGCCTTTTCCAAAACCATAAAAGCCACAAAGACTTTTGCCCTTTTCTAAACCTGTTCACTTATATGTTTCACGTAAAACCTGGTCCACACACCCCCCACCTTTTCCCAAAACCTCCTTGTTTATTGCTTTTTCTCTGTCTTGCTCTTAAATTTTTTCAATAATAAAATCTACCATACACTTTTCCAGGTAACTCAACAGACTTTTTCCCCCATAATTTTTGCACTCTTTTTGTCCCCCTTTTCCTTTATAAAAGGAAAATCATGCTTCGCCAACCCCCAGGGCCTTTCCCTCTTTCCCTAAATTTATTAAATTTGCACCAACCCCTCCAAAATATATTCCACCCGCTTTTAAAAAATTTCTATCTTTAAAAACCTATCATCCCGGGGCCCCTTTCCCCCTTTCATTTTACCTACCGCCTCACGAACTTCCCCACACTCACAATGGCTTTTTCTCCTAAAGATGTTATTCCTCCTTTCCCTAACACGAAAAAACACGCCCCCCCATTTCATCAACATTTAAAAATTCCTCAAAAAATTCCTCCATCTTCCCAATACCTCCCCAAATCTTCATTTAATAACTCCCCCCCTTTCCCATTTTTAACTGCAAAAACCTTTTTTTTTTCTAGGCTTCCTTAAAATTGTTAATTTTTTTTTATTATTATCACATGGCCGATTTTCCCAAGGAGGGGGCCCGAAAAAAAAAAAAATTTCACCATCATTCACTCCATCCTGTTTCCCCGAAGGGGGCTTTACCTACAGTTTTTAAACTGCAAATTAACACCCCCCCTTCAAGTGGGAGGCACTGTACTTCCCTCTCCGGACTCAAGTCCGGCCCGCGGTTTCCTGAAAACTTCATAAATGTTACTTTGTCAACTCCAACAGCCGCAAAATTAAAAACCATTTGTCTCCAT